TGTGAATGACGATGCTACAAAGATGGCTGCACTCAGTGGGATGGGCACACTGAGGGGTGGGTTGGGTAAGAAGAGAAAAGGAGTGCTGACTTCATCTGGACAGTGAAGGGTAAGGAGGATTCTCTAGGAGCAAAGGGCAGAAGGAAGGCAAAGGGGAGAGCCAGGGAAGAAGAAGCACCCCCCAGAGAGGGGACCCCACACCTCCCACCTCTCCTGGGGTCAGCCGTTGCCGTCCCTCACTGTGTGTGTCCTGTGCTTTGTCCTCTCTAGGAGAGAGCTGCTACCAGCTTTTAAACATGCCAGATCTCTAGCATCTTAAACAGCAGCACCCGATCCCTACCCTCCTCTGCCACCCCATTGCTGTCCAGACACCTGCTGTCCTGGTTCTCCCCTCTGCTTACAGCCAGTCTTCCAGGAGGCGTTTTGTACCATTCACCTCAATTTTCTCACATCTGTGCCCACATTCCCCCAAACAGATCTTGCTAAGGAAGCTTCTTCAGTTCTCATCAGTCAGCCTCTCAGTGAGGTAGTCGCTCTAATTGCACAAGGTCAGTTCCTAGGTGTGATTTCATTGCCTGAGCAAATGTACACGTCCTCTAATACCTGGCTTGCAGCTGCTGATCTGGCAAATGCCCCTCCTCCATACCTGCCTATAAGGCTCCCCAGAAGCTGTTTGCTTTCAGCTGGGGGTGACCCACAGAGCAGGTCCTTAGGAGTTTGGAGCAAATCGCTACCATTCTCTGCAGGCAACTATCCCCCTTTTCAGAATGTCTGTTGACCTGTTACTGGGTCTTAGTAGAGCTCAACCATGGATCACTTGTTACTATGTAACCTGTAACATAATAAATCAATCTCTCTCTCTCTCTCTCTCTATATATATATATAATAATTATACATAGACAGTAATAACATAATATATAATAGTATAATATAGCAATACAACATATGTAGTATGTATCCTACTTATATATATAATTATGTACTAACATATACACCCATAGGTTCTGTCGCTCTGGAGAGCCCTATTGTATATACTGATTTACTTCTACTCACCTAGTCCAGGCTACCAGCCTCTCCTGTCTGCACAGATAATTCTCTTTATAATCAACTTCCCCACATCTGCTCCTGCCCTTTCTCTGTCTTGCACCCAAATTGATCTTTTAGAAATGGCAAAACGTTTTGTGGCTGTCCTATTTAAAACCTGCCAGTAGCCTCATTCTGCTGCAGCCCAGACTCCTCTGTGTGGCCTGGCGCCGGGCTGGGCTGGCCCCTGAGAGCCTTGTGGGCCCGTCGCGGAGCCCCACCCATCACACCCTGCACTCAGGCCCAGCCTGTCAGCATCTCCCACATCCCAGGGCCCTTCCCCTTGCTGGCTTGTGCATCAGCTGTTCCCAGATGTCTAGGACACTTTCCTTCTCAACTTGATTCATTTCTGCTCATCCTTTGGAGTTCAATCCAATGTCATTTCCTCAAGGATTTAGGCTCCTCCTGTTACAGGGTCTCTCGTGGTGCTCTGTCCAAAGCAGATCTCCAAACGGGAATTCAGCACTCACTGTGGAACTCGTTTGGGGCTCCCTCCCATGCCTGCTGCTGCTGTGGTGGCCTGGCGATGTGCGCACACACTAGGCCCTCAGGAACTGAATGCCCTGACCTCTCCATTGGTAGCTTCACCCTCAAAACCACACATCTGGTCACTGCACTTTCTCCCTTGAAACTCTCCAGTGGCTTCAAATGGTCCATTGATCTGCTTGTCCATCTTCTCCCCTTGGATGAAGGGGCTTCAGAAGGTCACACGACATGGCTGATGTCAAGCATGATGTTTCTGAAGTTTCACATTGTGTTTTAAAAATTCATGTGAAGTCTGACTTCCAATCTATAATATCTTTTTGCTAAAATATAAAGATTATGCTTCCCCACAAAAATCTACAAGAGATGCTCCCAGCAGTTGCCTCATAGTGACGGGGGAGCCCTCACATACCATCACGACCATGAACTCCTAGAATATAAGTACCTACGTTCAAGAAGTCCAGGTTTGATGTTGTTCATAGAAGGTGATGTTGAGGCACCCCCCACCCCCTTGTTCTGCCTCTGGGTTTCCGCAGATGCAGTGGACAGGACCCATTCTTGCTGATGGTGTCCCCCGTCACATACCTGGGCCTTTTTTTGCATTAAGAGTTTGTTCAGCTGCTGTGCAGGGCAGTCCAAACCTGAAATTCTGGGGATTTAAAAACTCCAACTGGAGAGGGAAAAGAATTGGTGTATAAATCCTCCACTTTCCATTGCTATGTCAATTAGGAACCAGTTGAGTCTTCCAAGAACATGCTAAGACATAATTAGACATCCAACTGATTTAATTGATTAGAGGGTGAAAAATAGATGGAAACCTTAGCAAAAGTGGGTAGAGAGAGGCTTCAGGTCACAATGCAGGCCTGACATTCATGAGAGGAGAGGGGGAAGGAGAGGTTCCTGCAGGAAAACCCTCAGAATGTAGCACAGCTCAGGGACGCTCCTGGTGACATGGGAGGATCATAGCACAATGGCCAGAGAGGGGCCCACTGCCCAGTCATGACTGGCACTACCCTTGAAGCACATGGCCTGGGTTTTGGAAGCTGACACAGAGCCCAAAGTCACCAGCAGCGGGCAGCTGGCAGCCAGTCGCATTCCTGCGGCCGTCTGTCATAAAGGACTTCATTATCTCCTTTTGCAGTGGAGGGTAAGTAGCTGGCACCAGGCCAGGGGCAAGCTGTACGTCTAGGGCTTGAGTCTAGGTTGCCTGGCTCCAGGACCCACATGCTTAACCACTAACCTCTGGATTTAGAGATGTGGTCACACTGTCACGTGTGATGAGCAGAGCAAGCCTAGGTTCTTGCTAACAGCAGAAGTTAAGGTGCACGGGAATCCTTGGCTGCATGTACGACAGCACCGACCACCTGAAGAGGCCAGGTTGACTGCTCCTGGTGATGAGAACTGCAGGCGATGACAGTCCCGGAGTACTATCCACGACAGGCACCCTGAGGCCATCTGCATCGGACAGCCCAGATTTCTATGAGCCCATGGTGGTCTTCCCAATGCTCACAGACCCCCCCACAACCATGGTCAACAATGGTGGCACCCTAGCAAGCCAAGGGATCAGAGGGGCGTGGTGATGCTCTGAGCCTGGCTGGCCTCTTGATGATTTCTGATATGTGAAGGCTGACCCCTCCCTCTGACCTGCCCTATGTACAGGAATAATAGGAGAGCTGCCCCTTGTTCGTCCAGATGGGCACACTGCCCACTCTTCCTGCACACGGAGCATCTGAAGCGTACCTTAATTCTGTCACAAAGACTTACCTTAAAACCCTGAGCAGTATCCTCATGCAGTGCTGGGCACAGAGTAGGCACAGTTTGCAAAGGGTGCTCAGTAAGTCACTGTGGAACAAGAGAATGAATGAAGGCTGAGGGAAGTCACAGAGAGGAAGAAGAAGCTGGGGGAGGCCAGGGCGACCCTCTCAGTCAGCGGGGGTGTCCTGCTCTGGGGATAGCTGCAAGAACGAGGCTGTCACGTACAGAACATGTTGGTTTAGCTCAGCCCAAGGGGCCCTTGGAAGGCCAGGAATTAGGTGGAAAACCCTGGAATGGTGAACTGAAGGAGGAGAGGACCAGAGGGACTGAAGGAAGGTAGAACAGCCTGGGGCATGTCCATTAGTGGCTGGGTGAAGGCGCATGTACACACCTGGGGGGAGAGGAGGTGGAAGAGAAGGCTCCTGGCTCCGCACCTGACCCCACTTAGAGGGAGAAGCTAGTGTGTACAGAGAAGCCACTTTGAATGGGGCCCATTCCACAAAACCTCATTCAGTTCTAGGACATTCCATGAAGCAGTTATTGCTGGTCCACAGCAGAGATTGACTCAGAGGTTGAATCTGGGTCTGTCTGTCTTTTCCCAAGATGGTGTGGACACAGCTCAGACAGAAGTGTTCCCGAATTAGCATTTCCTGCTCTTTACTTGTGTGGTATTTGAAGATAATGGTGATATGTTAATGCAACTATAGGATATTAATGTTTGTCTGTACATGGTTTTCTATTTATAACTCTCCTTGTAAATCATTGACTATGGCAGTGGTTATTATCATCAGTTCAACGGTCAGGAAGGAAAAATCAAGCTAAAGAATTGGGAATTCTCAGTTGCTAAGGGTCTCGGAGGTGGGTGTGCGTCGTGTGTGTGTGTGTGTTGTGAATGAGTGAGTAAAAATGTTACCATCTACTGGACTTTTTCATGAAGATTGGCTGAGGGATTTTCTACAGCAGCTTGCCCCACTGTCCTGAGATTGTAAGGGTAAAAATGCCCAGACGCCCCCCCAAATGAAAGGCACCGACTCATGACACACAAAGGCCATCCTTAAGTGAATGTAATGGACAAAATGGGACTGTTTGGGACAGCTCATTGAAACTGGAACTGCAGATATTGCTGGATCATCTTTCAGGGAGGCTGTTGTGGGTACAGTGAATATAAATTAAATGGTAGGGTATGGAGGGAGGGGTAGTAATGTCGGCACCAAATTTTATATTGACTATTGATAAAGTTCTCTGCCCACGGTTCATTTCTTGTGTTTTCTTTCCTGAGCTCTCATGTGGCGAAGGAAGCTGGTTGTTTCATTCTTCCCACCAGCTGTTGCATAGGATTCAACTATCTTTTCTCCAGTTGAAATGAAAATGCAAATCTGTAAGGAGAATATAGAAATGCACTCTTTTAAGCTAACTACGTGTCACATATCACAATGGAAACCAACACGATGACACCAAGCTTAAAGGAATGCTTCAAAAATGAAAATAAGGCATTTAAAAGGGCAGTGGGAATCAAAGGAAATTGTTAAGCTACAATATAAAAAGAACTAATTGGGAGAGAAATTCAGAGCAATCTAGACCATGTGACATGCAAGAAAGAAAGAAAGAAAAGTAAGTCGTATTTGGAGGGAAATGAGTGAAACCCATGCATTCTCTCGCTTGGAGGTGGATTCTCCTGGTCAGTCACCCTGGGAAGCTGGTGCGCTTGGGAGCAAAGAGTGCTGTGGGGACTGTGACGGGCCTGCTTTGCCAGGGGGCGGTGGGGCAGAGGGAGGGAGATGAGTGTGCCTCCTGTTGCTCATTCCTGCTGCGTTTCCACCTCCTGACTCTCCTGTGGGCTTGTTGCTCAGCATCTCCGGAGAATTTCCTAGAGAAGCCCCAGAGTCCTGTGCACCCACTGTGCTTGGGTCTTGGAGATGCAAGCCGTCCTGGGTCAGCACCCTGTGGGGTGCATGAAGGCTGGGGGTACCGAGAGCTCCTTCTCTTCCTTTGCAGACTCCTCCTCTCCAGCCTGCCCATCAAAGAAGTTCCTCCAGGATCCGTCCTACACCTGCTTCTCTTTCCACAGGCTCTGCTTTCTGCAAGGACAATCTCATCCACAAATTCAGCGGTCATTTCCATTTGCTGATAATTCACAAACTCATAACTCTTACTCCTCTCACCCTCTGAGCTCCAAATGGCTGCTGATCAGTGTCCTCAAACATACCTCAACTGCAAACATGCAAATGCAGAGATCGGGTCCCAAACCAAACGATACCAGTGTCCTGCTCTCCATGGCCACCACCAAAATTCAGCTCCACTCCAGGGCGGTGAGTGAGGCTCAGGGAGTCACCGACTGTCTGCTTCTGCAAACCAGAGGCCCGAGCATCCTAAGTGCACCCCCAGG